TCATCTTAAGACCGTTGGGAGACACCATTGAGGTCATTGAGCAAAGTGCTTAGGTCCTCCAGCGATCTCGAAGGTGAGTGATGTACTCGCCATTGATGTTAATACCGTATCCTTTCCAGTCCAGTAGCTTGAAAACGTCTTCCAATGCAGCGGTGAAGAGTTTCGGGGATATAACGTCACCCTGTCTTACACCTCTCTGCATTTGGATAGGTTTCGAGCTCTGGTTCTGTACTCGGATAGCCATCGTAGCCCTACTGTACAAACACTCCAGCATTTCGATATACCGACAGTCAACTTGGCACCGCTGAAGTAACTGTAGCACCGCCCAAATTTCGACAGAATCAAAAGCTTTCTCATAGTACACGTACGCCAGGCAAAGTGGCAGATTGTACTCTTCGGTCTTCTGTACAATCTGCCGCAGGGTATGTATGTGGTCTGTGATACTGAAGCCTTTTCGGAAACCGGCTTGTTCGGGGGGCTGGAAGTCGTCGAGTCTGCGCGCAAGACGATTCGTAATGACTCTCGAAAACAGCACGTAGACGCGGCTCAGAAGGGAAATCGGTCTGTAGTTATTCAAGAGAGCGTTGTCGCCTTTCTTAATGAACAAGACCACCTCGCTTCTGTTCCACGCCTCTGGAGTAGTGCCACCATGGAAGACGGAATTGAAGAGCTTCTGAAGGACTTCAAAGTACTGGTGTTCCACCCGCTTTCAGAAGCTCCGCTGTAATTCCATCCTCTCCTGGGTCCCTGTCGTTTTTAAGATGCTGAAGAGCCATTCTAATCTCGCTCAGACTGACATCCGGGATATCGTCGGAATAGTGTCGGATAAGACTTGCTCTTGGATCCTTACTCACACTTGCGTGTGGCTTCAACGATGATGTGTACAGCTGTCCATAGAAACTCTCAATCTCACTCAAAATCTCAGGTGTCCCGGAAACGATGCTGCCACACTCATTCTTCAGCTTTGACAGTTGGCTCTTTCTGGCAGACAGATCTCTGGAAAAGACTTTGGAACCCTGGTTACGCTCGATCGCTTCCTTAATACGAGCAGTATTGAAGTTGCTTAAGTCTCGCCGCATGCATTTGGAGATCTGTCTGTTCAGTTGCCTGTATGCTGTCAAATTTGTTGACGATTGCAGCCTCACGTTTCCACGAGCTTTTCATTCATATCGTCCACTGAATTGCAATCCTCTAGGCACTGAAAACGGTTTTGTAATTTGAGCTGAAATGTTTCGGGATTCTGGATTAGAGCACGAGGTGGACGGAGCGTTGACTTCATTAGACGAGACCTCTCCAACTTAAAATTTAGGTTCAGTGTGCCTCTAACCATTCGGTGATCGCTGCCAGTTTTCACCCTTGCGATCACTGAGACATCACTGAACAGTTGGTGTCTGGTCGTCATAATGAAGTCAATCTCAGAAAGAAAAGTTCATCATAAAGAGTCCCTCTTTCTCCATAAAGTCGGCCAGTTTCTGGCCCCTTTTGTTCCGTTGCCCTACTCCAAATTTCCCTACCTTCAGCTCACCGTTCTTTCTTGTGCCCAGTTTTGCGTTGTAGTCTCCCATTAACACCGTATAGTGAGTTCTGGAGGAATGCATGGTTCTAGATATGTCCTCATACATTTCCTCCACCTCCTCATGGGCATGTTCCGAAGTGGGCGCGTAAACCTGTATGAACTTCAGCGAATACCTTTTGGTGATTCTGAGTATAAGGTACGCAACCGTCGTCGATACACTCCCAACCTTTAAAACGTTGTTAACACGAGACTTGTGGACGATAAATATAACATCTCCTTGAGATGGTCGCTCTCCCGGTGATAGAACAAGTTGCCGGATTCAAGAATCACCGTGTCCTCCCCCTCTCTTCAGACTTCGGATAATCCTATAATATTCCAGCGCAACTTGTCTATCTCTTCTTCCAGCTTCAGGATCTTCTCGTCAGTCCTCAAGGTGCGTGAGTCAAATGTTGCCAGATCGATTCGTCCTAGGTGGCAACCCAACCTTCACTGGAGATTCTTAGCACCCCCCTACGCCGCCTTTACCATGGTCGCCACCGTAGCCAGGAATAGCGGGGCCACCGGGTACTGGGGTCCGTCTATTTGTGTAATTGTTCATGGCAATATACCCCATATTGCCATAGTTGCCACGCTTGGCGGGTGGATTGGCAACCGCAGTTTTTTTTTGTTGTACAGTTGCTGTTATCAGGAAGATGCTGCTGCCCATCTCCTGCCTGTTTCCCTCTGTCGCCTTTTACGACACCCACGGGAAGATATGGGGTAGTGGATATTCTTAACCGCCACTACACAGCACAAAAATATGTCTCTTATTTCCAAAATAAAAAATACAATTAAATCTTTTAGATTTTAATTTTTTGAAAGCTACATATTGCGAACGACTTAAAAAAAAAACAATTTTTCGCTTTCCTATTCCAGTTGTAATTGATGACAATCTGTTGAGAATACGAGTATGTTATAGTACATATACGGCTTATTTGTATTTACAGAGTTTGTAGAATAGGAAAATGTATAATAATAATAATAATAATAATAATAATAATATATATATATAAATAGGCGTAGGGAAGTGACGACCCCATCGCCCGCTGACGAAACAGTTATGTGACAAAACCGCTACGTCCGTGCAGTCAGTCAGCGCCTTGCCAAGAGTTGTGAGCGCCGTGCCTCGGCAGTAATCAGGGTGCAAAGGCCCGTTTGTGCATATGGCCGTACAATGATGCCATGAAACGGTGCCGGGCCTGGGCGTCTCCCGTTAAATGACGCCCTGTAATGGATGATGGATATGATTAGATAGCGTAAAGGGCCGCTGCCTGGGGGTCGTCGGGGCGCGTCTGGAGCTGGCGCTGGACGCGACAGCATGCGGACCGCCAGCCGAGCGCGAGGTGCTGCACGATCACCCAGCAGCCCCCCGCATCCATCATCCCCACCAGACTGCTTGGTGTCGGCAGGGTCCTCTCGGACCGGCAATCGGCACCCGCCGCTGGTGGAGTACGCCGCATGCGATGGACCAGCAATATGAACGCAAACGCATTGCGGGCGTACTATAGGGCGAAAGGGGGAGAAACTGGGGAGGTTTCGCGTATCGGGCTCGGATGCATTACGTTTTTTACTGAGCTGGAGCCGTCTATTCCCGTCACCGAACAAAACCTGGCAGACCGAGTTCGGTACATCATACGCTCGAATATATTTGATGGCGCCGAACTCGAACGACTACGGCGTGAGGCCATTCCCTGTAGTGTTATGCTTACATACATACTTACATATCATTTTACACTATTTTATTTTTATTTTTCCATTCTGTTTTTGATTTTCTACATTCACCTCAAAACTGGATATTTTGCATCACCTTTATTTCCATAGGATCCTGTAATATTTTTAATTCATAAGAACACAATAACAAATCATTTTCACTTCGTATTTTCACGTTATCAGCACTTTTTTAAATCGGTGTCAATGGAGTCTACCTTTTTCGATCTTTTATTTAGTTCTCCGTAACTCATCAATTTCGGGTTTCGTGCGCGCTCTTGCGCTACCTTTTTTCCTATATAAATAATATCTCATTTTTCACTTAAATCTTGCCGTTTCTGTATTACGAGCTTAAAACCAAAATTTGACATGTTTTGACATCGTTGTTTATCTGGTTGTCGTGGCAATTTTTATTCAAATATTGTTACCGGCCTGATGTTTTTACTTCAAAAATACTCTTTTCTTCTTGGCCATTTACAAAAATTTGCTTTTAATTTAAATAATTTCAAATAATTTCTCGTTCTTATCCCAGATCCGTCAAAAAGTATAAAAGCCGAAGAATCGGCCGATAGAGGTCCTCACTTCAGCTTTGATACGAGAAGCACCTCTTAAAGGCTTTATCCGCACTGCCTCGGGATCTTGCAAGCCTTCTCCTGAAGTCGTCGCCTAGCCACGCCTACGCCTCCACCTATTAGTGCCCGCGCTATCTTCGGCCGCTGAGCGTGTTTGTCTCAAGCGCTGCGTGTTCCTACTCCAGACGCTGCGTGTCTACTCCGGACGCTGTGTGTGTCTACTCCGGACGTTGTGTTTGCCTACTTCAAGCGCCACGTGTACCTACTCCAGACGCTGCGTGTCTACTCCGGGTGCTGCGTGTATCTGCTCCGGGCGTGAAACACCAGTGCCTACTCCGGCGCTGCGTGTACCTTCTCCAGACGCTGCATGTGCTTTCTCCAGATTCTGCGTGTACCTAGAGCAGGCGCATGTGCACCTATCAGAGGCATAGCCTGTGCATACTTCGTTGCAGTATCTTTATTTTTGTTATTTTTTTTTAATAATATTGTAAATCACTATCATCATTACAGCCCATCATCACCTTCATACCTTTTTTTATAAAAGAAACTGTAAATCTTTTCAAATTTTTAAATAATTTATTTTATTTTTGGTTGTTTTGTTGTAGTTAGGTTAGGTTATTTAGTTTTTAATTGTCGCTTCACGACATCCCTCATCGAATGAATTGGCTACGGCTGGGGATGCGGCTCCTCAGGCGACAGACCAGCTGCCACGCGTAGAAGCCGCCATGGATCTTCCAGTTGTGGTTGATTCCGACGATGATGAAATGGTCTCCCACGAACTAGAGGCAAATGAGGAGTATACTGGAAGAGGCGATTTTGGAAACGCGCACCATGCCTCTCGAAAATCGACCGCGACTTCCTCGCATACCCCTAAGCAAGCGAAATCGGGCTGTCGTGAGGGCTCTTAACCCTATGCTGGTAACCTATTTGGAAGCCAGCCGGGACCTTTGCGAGACGGACTCAGTTCCTTTTGGCGCCGCAGTGGCAGCTTGCCGTATTATTGGCGCCAAACTTCCCTGGCTGGACGCGCTAGTAAACAAAGTAGCGCCATCCCAGCCTGGAGAAAAAGAATTGAGGACCGTATCGCAAAGGCAAGGGCCCTATTCGGCAGACTGATAAGCTTCAGGTCGGGTAATAATAGACCGAGGGTTGTGCGCTCCGTTAGAATGGCGTTTGCTGGGACAAATATCAGTTTGTCCCAGCCGGATATCACGCAGAAACTAACGGAGCGCATAGACGACCTGAAGCAAAAGATTGCTGCTTGGGGGAAGCGGATTCGCCGATTTACCGAGAGGTCAAGGCGGTTCAACCAGAATCGTCTCTTCCAGAGTGATCAGAAGAGGCTCTACAAATCATTGGAGCGACCAGAGGTATGTGGAGCGGGCCCAGGACCGGATCAGGCTAACACTGTCGCATTTTGGCGTGGCCTGTGGTCAGAGCCCGTAAACCACAGCGAGGGCTCTTGGACGGAAGTTGTGGCGAGTCAGTGTGCGAGTATTACGCCCATGGACCCCGTCATCATAACGCCGGATGACGTAGCTGAGGCGGTCCGTAGAGCCCCGAACTGGAAAAGTCCGGGACTCGACGGACTGCATCACTACTGGCTGAAGGGGTTCATGGTGTGTCACGCTGTGCTCGCCCGTCAGTTTCAAGAGGCTCTCAACCAGAAGTCGCTCCCTAGCCTCTTCACTACTGGGATCACTCATTTGGTTCCTAAAGACCAGGTTACCACAGACCCGAGCAAATACCGCCCCATTACGTGTCTACCCACCATATATAAGACACTGACATCCATTTTGAGCGCGAGAATCACTCGTCACCTGGAGCTAAATCAGGTGATGTCACGCGCTCAAAATGGATGTCGGGGCGGTGGTCGTGGAACCAAGGAACCACTCCTCATTGACGCGGTCATTGGCAAAGTGGTGAAACGCAACCGTCGGAACTTCTCCGCCGCCTGGATAGACTACAGAAAGGCATTCGACTCGGTGCCCCATACATGGCTAAAGAGAGTCCTCGAGCTGTACAAGATAGACTGTACAGTGAGAGACTTCCTCGAGCAGTGTATGGGGCAGTGGAGTACGATCCTTTGTCATCTGGGTGAGCGGATGATGGCTGCGGAGAACCACATAAGGATAAGAAGGGGTATCTTCCAGGGCGATTGTCTGAGTCCAATCTGGTTCTGCCTCTCCCTGAACCCTCTCAGTACCTTACTGGAGGGATCCGGGAGAGGATTTCAGCTACGGAAAGGAGGGGCAAAAGTGACCCACCTTTTCTATATGGATGACCTCAAGTTATTCGCCTCCAGTCGCTCCCATCTTATGGAATTGCTAAACATCACTTGTGAATTTAGCAATTCCATTGGAATGGAGCTGGGGACGGATAAGTGTGCGGTCCTCCATGTTGAGAGGGGAAGGGTTGCTAACTCTGAGGGCATAGATTTATCTATGCCCGTCAACTTAAGGACCCTTTCCGAGGCTGAAACATACCGATACCTGGGTATGTCACAGAACATCGGTATCGATGAGGCTGGTATGAAACAGTCAGTTTGCGACGTGTTTTATGCACGCTTGACCAAAGTGCTTAATAGCCTTTTGTCCGGTGTGAATAAGACACACGCATATAACGGTTGGGTCATACCTGTCCTTATGTATACCTTTGGCATACTCAGGTGGAGTCAGACTGAACTTAACGCCCTGGATAGAAAAGTCCGCACTACCATGACGTCCCATAGGATGCATCATCCGAGATCGTCGGTAATGAGGCTGTACTTGCCGCGAAAGCATGGTGGGCGTGGCTTTCTGAGCGCGCTCACCATGCATAATCGTGAAGTGTGCAGCCTCCGTGATTACTTCCTGGCGAGATCGGATGATCCATTCTATAATGACGTCATTTCTAGTGATAAAGGGCTTACCCCTCTATCCTTGGCCAACGAGCAATGGCAGGACCCAGCAGTGCTTAGCATTTCCGACCGGGAGACCGTATGGAAGGAGAAGGAGCTCCACGGGAGGTACTACAGGGCTCTACATGAGCCCTTCGTAGACACAGTCGCCTCCCTCAACTGGCTACGTTTCGGTGACCTCTTCGGGGGAAACCGAGGGTTTTGTCTGTGCAATACAGGATCAGGTTATTAAGACCAACAACTATCGGAGATACATCCTAAAGGATGGCACCGTCGACGTCTGTCGAGCTTGTCGCCATCCCGGGGAGTCACTTAGGCATGTCATCTCCGGTTGTTCGGCGCTTTCTAACTCTGAGTACTTGCACAGGCACAACCTAGTAGCCAGAATTCTACACCAGGAGCTCGCTCTGAAATACGGTCTCGTGGACCGGAAATTGCCGTATTACAAGTACTTGCCGGAAGCCGTGCTCGAAAATGACCGCGCCAGGCTCTACTGGGACCGGGCCATCATCACAGACAGGACTATTCTTGCGAATAAGCCTGATATTGTGCTGATGGACCGGGCACAGTCAAGGATATTTTTGGTCGACATTACCGTCCCGTATGACGAGAACCTCGTGAAAGCCGAAACAGATAAGCAAACAAAGTATCTGGACCTGGCTCACGAGGTGACCGACATGTGGGGTGGTATGCCGACCGAAATTATTCCTGTAGTCGTCTCTGCGAATGGGCTAATCCCAGTCAGCCTCTCTGATCATCTGAGGCGACTGGGACTCCGTGACGGACCGCTCCGGGCTCAAATGCAGAAGGCGGTGCTCCTTGATACTGCCCGCATCGTCCGCCGGTTTCTTTCCCTTTCCCCCTAACCCTTGGCCGTTTGGTCTCCCCTGCCGAGGGCTTCCATCTGGTTGGGCTTTTATTTATTTATGTATTTTTGTATTTATTTTATTTTATTGATATTTATGTATATTTATCTTTTCATTTTCATTTATAATTATATATTTATACATCCCAACCAGATGAGAAAACTATATAGATAACCCACACATAATAATAATAATAAATAATAATAATAATAAGGCGTAGGGAATTGACGACCCCATCGCCCGCTGACGTAACAGTTAAGTGACAAAACTGCTACGTCAACGCAGTCAGTCAGCGCCTTGCGAGAGGTGTGAGCGCCGTGCCGCGGCAGAATTTAGGGTGCAGAGGCCCGTTTGTGCTTATGGCTACACACGAAACGGTGCCGGGCCTGGGCGTCTCCCGTTAATGGACGCCCAAGTAATGGATGATGGATAAAAAGATAGTGCGCAAAGGGCCGCTGCCTGGGGGTCGCCGGGGCGCGTCTGGAGCTGGCGCTGGACGCGGCAGCATGCGGGCCGCCAGCCGAGCGCGAGGAGCTGCACGGTCATCTACCAGCCCTCCGCATCCATCATCCCCACCAGAAGGCTTGGTGTCGGCTGGGTCTTCTCGGACTCAGCAAGCGGCACCCGCCGCTGGTGGAGCACGTCGCATGCGTTGGTCACAAGAAATGAATGCAAACGCACTGCGGGCGTACTTTAGGGCAAAAGGGGCAGAAACTGGATGTTTGGCGTATCGGGCTAGGATGCATCGTCTTTTTGCTGAGCTGGAGCCATCTTTAATCGTCACAGAGCAAAACCTGGCAGACCGAGTTCGGTATATCTTGCGCTCAAATATATTTGATGTCGCCGAACTCGAACGGCTACGACGTGAGGCTGTTCCCTCGTCGGATGAGAATGCTACGGCTGAGGATGCGGCGCCACAAATGGTAGAGCAACCCGCAAACGTGGATGCCGCCGTGAATACCCCAGTTGTGGTTGATTCAAACGATGATGGAACAGTCGCCCAGGAACTGGAATTAGAGCATATGAGGAGTATATTGGAAGAGGCGATTGTGGAAACGCGCAGTACGCCTCTCGAAAATCGACCGCGACTTCCCCGCATAGCCCTAAGCAAGCGGAATCGGGCTGTCGTGAGGGCTCTGAACCCAATGCTGGTTACCTATTTGGAAGCCAGCCGGGACCTTTGCGAGACGGACTCAATTCTTTTTGGCGCCGCGCTGGCAGTCTGCCGTATCATAGGCGCCAAGGTTTCCACGGCTGGACGCGCTACTGGCCATAGTAGCGCTATCCCAGCATGGAGAAGAAGAATTGAGGAACGTATCGCAAAGGCTAGAGCTCTCATCGGCAGACTGATATGCTTCAGATCAGGCAACAACAGGCCAAGAATTGTGCGCACCGTCAGGATGGCGTTTGCTGGGACAAATGTCAGTTTGTCCCAGCCGGATATAACGCAAAAACTGACGGAGCGCATAGATGATCTGAAGCAGAGAATCGCTGCTTGGGGAAAGCGGATTCGGCGATATACCGAGAGGTCGACACGGTTCAACCAGAATCGTCTCTTCCAGAGTGATCAGAAGAGGCTCTATGAATCATTGGAGCGACCAATGGTAAGTGGAACGGGTCCAGCACCGAATCAGGCCGACACTGTAGCATTCTGGCGCGGCCTGTGGTCAGAGCCCGTAAACCACAGCGAGGGCCCTTGGACGGAAGTTGTGGCGAGTCAGTGTGCGGGTATTACGCCCATGGACCCCGTCATCATAACGCCGGATGACGTAGCTGAGGCGGTCCGTAGGGCCCCGAACTGGAAAAGTCCGGGGCTTGACGGGCTGCATCACTACTGGCTGAAGGGGTTCATGGTGTGTCACTCTGTGCTCGCCCGACAGTTTCAAGAGGCTCTCAACCAGAAGTCGCTCCCAAGCCTCTTCACTACTGGGATCACTCATTTAGTTCCTAAAGACCAGGGTACCACAGACCCGAGCAAATACCGCCCCATCACGTGTCTACCGACCATATACAAGACACTAACATCCATTTTGAGCGCGAGAATCACTTGTCACCTGGACTCAAATCAGGTGATGTCGCGCGCTCAAAATGGATGTCGGGGCGGTGGTCGTGGAACCAAGGAACCACTCCTCATTGACGCGGTCATTGGCAAAGTGGTGAAACGCAACCGTCGGAACTTCTCCGCCGCCTGGATAGACTACAGAAAGGCATTCGACTCGGTGCCCCATACATGGCTAAAGAGAGTCCTCGAGCTGTACAAGATAGACTGTACAGTTAGAGACTTCCTCGAGCAGTGTATGGGGCAGTGGAGTACGATCCTTTGTCATCTGGGCGAGCGGATGATGGCTGCGGAGAACCACATAAGGATAAGAAGGGGTATCTTCCAGGGCGATTGTCTGAGTCCAATCTGGTTCTGCCTCTCTCTGAACCCTCTCAGTACCTTACTGGAGGGCTCCGGGAGGGGATTTCAGCTACGGAAAGGAGGGACAAAAGTGACCCACCTTTTCTATATGGATGACCTCAAGTTATTCGCCTCCAGTCGCTCCCATCTTATGGAATTGCTAAACATCACTTGTGAATTTAGCAATTCCATTGGAATGGAGCTGGGGACGGATAAGTGTGCGGTCCTCCATGTTGAAAGGGGAAGGGTTGCTAACTCTGAGGGCGTAGACTTATCTATGCCCGTCAACTTAAGGACCCTTTCCGAGGCTGAAACATACCGATACCTGGGTATGTCACAAAACATCGGTATCGATGAGACTGGTATGAAACAGTCAGTTTGCGACGTGTTTTATGCACGCTTGACCAAAGTGCTTAACAGCCTTTTGTCCGGTGTGAATAAGGCACACGCATATAACGGCTGGGTCATGCCTGTCCTCATGTATACCTTTGGCATACTCAGGTGGACTCAGACTGAACTTAACGCCCTGGATAGAAAAGTCCGCACTACCAATGACGTCCCATAGGATGCATCATCCGAGATCGTCGGTAATGAGGCTGTACTTGTCGCGGAAGCATGGTGGTCGTGGCTTCTTGAGCGCGCTCACCATTCATAATCGCGAAGTGTGCAGCCTCCGTGATTACTTCCTGGCGAGATCGGATGATCCATTCTATAAGGACGTCATTTCTTGTGATAAAGGACTTACCCCTCTATCCTTAGCCAACGAGCAATGGCAAGACCCGGCAGTGCAGAGCATTTCCGACCGGGAGACCGTATGGAAGGAGAAGGAGCTCCACGGGAGGTTCTACAAGGCTCTACATGAGCCTTTCGTAGACACAGTAGCCTCCCTCCACTGGCTACGCTTTGGTGATCTCTTCGGGGGAAACCGAGGGTTTTGTCTGTGCAATACAGGATCAGGTTATTAAGACCAACAACTATCGGAGATACATCCTAAAGGATGGCACCGTCGACATCTGTCGAGCTTGTCGCCATCCCGGTGAGTCACTTAGGCATGTTATCTCCGGTTGTTCGGCGCTTTCTAACTCTGAGTACTTGCACAGGCACAACCTAGTAGCCAGAATTCTACACCAGGAGCTCGCTCTGAAATACGGTCTCGTGGATCGGAAATTGCCGTATTACAAGTACTTGCCGGAAGCCGTGCTCGAAAATGATCGCGCCAGGCTCTATTGGGACCGGGCCATCATCACAGACAGGACTATTCTTGCGAATAAGCCTGATATTGTGCTGATGGACCGGGCACAGTCAGGATATTTTTGGTCGACATTACCATTCCGTATGACGAGAACCTCGTGAAAGCCGAAACAGACAAGCAAACAAAATATCTGGACCTGGCTCACGAGGTGACCGACATGTGGGGTGGTCTGTCGACCGAAATTATTCCTGTAGTCGTCTCTGCAAACGGGCTAATCCCAGTCAGCCTCTCGGTTCATCTGAGGCGGCTGGGACTACGTGACGGACCGTTCCGGGCTCAAATGTAGAAGGCGGTGCTCCTCGATACTGCCCGCATCGTCCGCCGGTTTCTTTCCCTTTCCCCCTAACCCTCGGCCGTTTGGTCTCCCCTGCCGAGGGCCTCCATCTGGTTGGGCTTTTATTTATTTATGTACTTTTATATTTATTTTATGTTATTGATATTTATGTATATTTGTCTTTTCATTTTCATTTATAATTATATATTTATAGCACCCAACCAGATGAGAAAACTATATAGATACCCCAAAATAATAATAACGGATCAGGTTATTAAGACCAACAACTATCTGAGATACATCCTAAAGGATGGCACCGTCGACGTCTGTCGAGCTTGTCGCCATCCCGGGGAGTCATTTAGGCATGTCATTTCCGGTTGTTTGGTGCTTTCTAACTCAGAGTACTTGCACAGGCACAACCTAGTAGCTAGAATTCTACACCAGGAGCTCGCTCTGAAATACGGTCTCGTGGACCGGAAATTTCCGTATTACAAGAGTACTTGCCGGAAGCCGTGCTCGAAAATGATTGCGCTAGGCTCTACTGGGACCGGGCCATCATCACAGACAGGACTATTCTTGCGAATAAGCCTGATACTGTGCTGATGGACCGGGCACAGTCAAGGATATTTTTGGTCGACATTACCATTCCGTATGACGAGAACCTCGTGAAAGCCGAAACAGATAAGGGAACAAAATATCTGGACCTGGCTCACGAGGTGACCGACATGTGGGGTAGTCGGCCGACCGAAATTATTCCTGTAGTCGTCTCTCCAAATGGCCTAATCCCAGTCAGCCTCTCGGGTCATCTGAGGCGTCTTGGACTCCGCGACGGACCGCTCCGGGCTCAAATGCAGAAGGCAGTGCTCCTCGATACCGCCCACATCGTCCGTCTGTTTTCTCCCTTTCCCCTAACCCTCGGCCGTTTTGTCTCCCCTGCCGAGGGCTTCCATCTAGTTGGATCTTTATTTATTAGTTTATTTTTTGTATTTATTTTATTTTATGGATATTTATGTATATTTATCTTTTCATTTTAATTTATAATTATATATTTTTAGAAATCAACCAGATGAGAAAACTATACAGATACCCCAATAATAATTATAATGTCCTCCAGACCGAATTCCGGCTACGGCGGCCTTCCTCAACGGAGGCTAGCCAGCGGCGCAGGACAGGATTATAGTGCCCAAGTGTATGCCAAGCACAGGTGCACTCTCTATTCCCTCACTCTCATAATCCGATGGGACGGTAAACCAGGAAAAACTCAATAATAAATGTTTTGGCCCGACCCGGGATTCGAACTCAGGACCTCATGATCAGCAGTCGCACTACTACAACCACTAGACCAACGAGGCAGTCGTATGTTTTTTTTTTAATTTATTATCCATAATTTTGCTACACTATCCAGTACAATACTAGCATACAAACCTCTAGGGGTTTATCTACGCTAGAGAGCCGCCCCATACAAACAAAGATGTATTAATATTAAATCACATTATTCTCACAGAAGTACCTACTACAATAAGTGTGGTTGATTTAACAAATATGATTTAAGTTTACTTTTAAACAGTTTGGATTTACCGTAAGTTTCTTGTAATTCTATTGGCAATTCATTAATAAAAGTAGGTACAAGATGGGCGAACTTTCTAGCTCCATAGAAATTTTTAGTTTTCGGAAGTACATACATGTTGGATTTATAAGCTATATTTCGTAGATTTACAGGTCGTTTTTTAAGAAGTAGATATTCTGAATTATTAACTTCCGTCAGTATATTAAATTTAACTTTATCGAAAACATTTATGACTTTGCAATATTTAAAAAGGCCCTGGTCATTATCTATGTACCTATTTTTAATGTGATTAGGCACTATCCATCGAAGCATTTTGCGTTGTAATGTGTAAATTTCCTATATGTACGTTACATAAGTTCTACCATAACTGCTAAGTCCGTAACTAATGACGGAATCTGCTAGAGTCATATAAAGTAATCTAAGTATTTTATATGGTAGCTTAAATTTTAAAACATAAAGTTTACTCAACACAGAGCGAAGTTTTGCACACACGTGATCTTTATACGCTCTCCAGCAGAATCGTTCATCAATAATCAGACCAACATACATGTGATTTTTGACATTTTCAATGGGTTGACAATTACAGTGTTGAAGTATTCCATGGAGACATTCATGGCTGTGGGAAATGATAATCGGTGCGGTGGCAACTTTGTTGTGAGATGAGTGTATGTGAACAAATTTTGTTTTTTGAGCGTTAACCACTAGGCCGACATCATGTGCCCACTTACATAGCATGTCGTAACTTTCCTGCATTTCAGTTTGTGCTACATCCATACTACGATTGGCAATGATGATACAAGTGTCGTCGGCAAATTGATATGTGGAGCCCTTAGTTATTGCATTTACCATTTCGTTAACAAATAGCTAGTACTCAGTCGGACCCAGTATCGAACCCTGTGCTGTGCCGCGTTCAGTCGCAAACATATGACCTGTCTGGTTATATATTTTGACAGTGGTATAACGATTTTGATGATAACTCTTAAGAAGTTCTAAGAACGGTCCTTGAATACCGCAGCGTGATAGCTTATTATATAATGTGTTAAAATTTAATAAATCGAACGCTTTACTAAAATCAATAAATAATACTAAAATATGCATTTTATTATCTAAATAATTATTAATTTCATCAGTAAATTGCCGTAATAGTTGCGTTGTGTTTTTATTTTTTTGAAAACCCAACTGTTTTGTATTTATTATATTGGATTTAATAAGGTAATTGTTTAATTCATTGCTCAAATAACGTTCAATTATTTTATTTAGGCAGGAGAGAATAGTTATAGGACGATAATTGTTAAAGTCATTATGTTTGCCTTTTTTGTAGATTGGTCGGATTACACCTATTTTTAGTAGGTCCGGATAAATAGACGTTTTTAGACATTGATTAATTAAGTATGTAATAAGAGGCACCATTGATTTCGAAATGTATTTTATATCACAAACGCGTATGCCATCAAACCCGGGGCTTTTCTTATCATTCATTGTTTTAATAATTTTGGTAACATCAGCATCCGTTGCTATTTTATTTTTACGGTTCTATCTGGATTCATTTCATAGGAACGGGGATCTAAGAGTGGCTTATTACAGTTTAAGCATATTTTTTTAACATTTTTATCAAATTCTAAACCAAATTTATTTGCTAATGTTTTAGGATCAATATTAAATATTTTTTGTAATATATCATCAATACAACGTATTATTTTACCAGTTAAATTACTTATTAATTGCCAAAGTTTTATTGGATTTCTAAAATTTTCGCAAATTACTTTTTTAGTATTTTGATTTCGTAAAAATTGAGCATATTTATTCGTTTTATTTCTATATTTATTGCAATTTAATCTTTTTAATGAATTATTGTCATCTTTCCGCCAGATTTTAAATAATTCATCGCGTTTTTTACACATAATATATACTAGTTTCCTATTAGACCACTCACAACAATTGCGCTTACTAATAACTACAGTTTTTGTATACTTGCATTTATCGTATGCGCAATTCATTTGCGTCCTTATGTAATTAACAATGTCGTTTGGATCGGAGTAACTCAACGGCAACTTCCAATCTATTAAATCGAGTTCGCTACGAAGTTGTTTATTATCCAACGTAGTAGTGAGCTGCGGCGCGTTCTGAGCCCGTGAGTCACAGTTCGGATCCGCTCCGAGTCCGAGAATCGCACAGCCTATTATTTTATGGTCAGCTGGCGCGATGTTCACACCGGCCGTGTACACCTCGTTCTTGCATACAGTTCTAATCAGAATGTGATCTAAACATGATTTTGTTATATATACAAACCGATATTTAAACGGTGAATCTCACCACCATCCTTCACAGTTAGCTACCGTGGGCAAATCTTTGTTACAGAGAGCACGAGGGATCTGTGACAGCAAACACCTGGCCGCCGAGCTTCAGCACGTCAAGCAAGTTCTGCACGACAACAAGCTTCGGGTGCCGCGCCTACGTCACAGTGACCGAGTGAAGCCGGCCACAGTCGAGCGTGTGCCTGCTGTACTACCATATGTCAGAGGTGTCACAGACAAGATTGGCTATATCTTGAAGCGAGCTTCTATTAGAACATTCTACAAGCCGCCGAAGAAGATTAGTCAGTTCCTACCATCCGTCAAGTGTCATATTCCTCTACAAGATGCAGGAGTGTACAAGCTTGATTGTGAATGTGGTCTCTCTTATATAGGACAAACAAAAAGATCAATTAGAACCCGCGTAAAAGAACATATAGCTGATGTGAAGCATCAACGTTCCGGGAAGTCTGCAGTTTGTGATCATATCCTAGACGGACCCAACCATTACATCAGATTTGATAGACCACAAATCCTCGCGAAAGAACACCGATTCCTACCAAGGATGATACGTGAGGCTATTGAAATTAAAAAACATCCTAATTTCAATAGAGAAGGAGGCTGGGTACTACCACCTGCTTGGGATCCTATAATCAAGAAAATTAAAACTAAACCCAAGCATACCACTGCACCCCCCCCCCCCGAACGGGTTCCCGCCTTGTCGTGGCGGGGGGCTTAGTAGCCGTGGCTTGGTCTCCCACGGTGAACAAAGAGGAACCCACGTGGCTGGCCCGAGGTGAAGGGCCGGCCTGAGGTGGCCGCTCCGAGTGGGCTTGGGGAGCCCACTTCGGATGTGTGCTGGTGGACTGCAGCGAGTGGGGACTCGCGCACCCTCTACCGCTGCAGCCGAGGTGGAGTCGCGGAGGAAGAGGAGTGTTGGTATGGCGATGCGCCACTCGCCCTATCCTTCGCGACTCAAACGGGGCCGCACCGTTGATGCGGTGGTGGTGGGGCTGCGGGGGGGAGAGGATTGTCGGTATTGCGAGGCGCCGCTCTCCCTACCCTCCGCAGCCGAATCTTGGTTGGCGGCGGAGCCATAGACCAGATCCGCCGCTGGGGTCGGGAAGGCTAGTACTTCTCAGTGCTCGTGTTTCCTGGCCCCATGGCCTTTGTGCATCGGACGCGGGGGGCGTCTGTTGCACAGACGTAGTTGGAGGCCGTGGAGGAAGGCGCGCCATGTGTTCTGGTGCGCCTTACCTGGGAAGGAGAATGGGGAGGAATTTTCCTCTCCCGAGGAGGTGCTGCCATGGGGCGGCAGGCGCTAGTAGGGCCGCGGATGTGTGCGAAAGCGTTCCCGTAGCCCTGCCAATATGCGACAAAGGTGGAACACAATGGGGTTTTAGTCGGTGCGAGTCCGATATAACCCGTCCTTGCCCCCGCGAGGCGGGTATGCGTAGGCATTTCCCCATGCAAAAAAAAAAAAAAAGCATACCACTGCAAGAACTCAGGACATAGTCAGTTCATTTTGCATAGATCGGACCGTAAACAATAATTAAAAAAGCTGAAGGTACTCCGGGTTTAGCAATGACATCGGGACGTCAGTCATCTCAGTCCCCCGTGACCATGTGTGTGGAAAGCGCCCGAAACGTCGGGAATTAAAAAATAAAAGTAAATAAAAAGTAAAAATAAACGCGATAAAATCCGTAAAAGTAGTTTTAATCATGATTTTGTTATTCGGCTCCCGTATTTTTCTATTCTTGTGTATTGCGTTATACCACGGTCAAATCCTAATTTACAAAGTGTGTTAAGATAACTAGTGCTAATGGGATTTGTCTTCTTTGTGTTTAAGTTCATGTCACCCATAATTATACAGCAAATTTTAGGTGAATATTTACCAACAATATTAGCTAACTCATCAATAAAACGGACTTTGTTTGCGTCAGGTGGTCTATATACAGCACATAGGCCTACAGTGCCATTTTTTAAGTTTATTTGGCCATTAATACATTCGCATTCCTTAGTTGATATTTGCAGTCGGCTAAAATGCAGGGATGAGTGAACATATAGCATAATGCCGCCGCCTTTTCTGCCATTTCTTAGTTCGTAATATAAGTTATAATTTAGTAAATTAAACATGTTGACACAGTGATATTGAATATTAGCCTCAGTAATTATGATTATGTGAATTATGTGTGTAGTATTTTTTATTATATATTCCAGATGTGCAAAATTCTTAAGTAATGATGATATGTTTACATGAAAAAACAGAAGAGAACAATTATTTAAGGGTAGTTTGTCTACAAACTCATTCCAATTATCACAGTTTAACTCAATAATATTGGGATTTATATTATGTTCTATTCCTACAATATCCATTATCTGAGGTATAAAATGATATTAATTGAGTATACACAAAAGCAATATTAAACAAAAAATATAAAAGAGAAAGTAAGAGAAAAATAAATGTTTTCCAGCACTTAACACTTAACTATAACGGTTTCTTGTTTAATTAATAAGTTTGTTTTGCGAGGCCTTAACCGATTCTAATTCAAAGAGAGTGCGTATGGAGATTATTTTCGCCTTTTCTTCTTTGCGTATTAGAATTGTGCCATTTCTGCACCATATAAGTTTGTAAGTATCTTTAAGGGCTTCCTTGGTCTTCCATAATAAAAATGCAATCCCAGGTGCTAGTGATTCGCGTAAATATACCTTATCGCTACCTTGCAATCCCAGTTCAGCCGTTGTCATTTTTAGGTCCTTGGCTTTATTCAGCCAGATGTCTCGTGCTCCATCTTGCAGTGTAACAATTATTGGCGAATGTTCTATCCGGTGTGAAGTCACAGTGCGATTTTGTCTCTTACGATGTGCCCTAATTACGTCATTTTGGCTTACCTGCAACTTTGTAGCTACCTGTTTAGCTATGTTCACCGGGTCTTCACTAGCCAATTCCTTAACACCACAAATTTCTATTTGACACATTAGTTGTTTTTGCTCTATTAGATTTATTTTACTCTCTAGTACACTACATTTAAGATTAATATTTTTTAAGTTGCTTTTTAAATCAATACACTGTTTCTCTAGCGTTTTGACGTTAGTCTCGTAGTTGTTAATTTTTACACTGAATTCATCAATTTTGTCAGAATAAAATTTTAATGTTTTTTGCAATTCTTCCCGAATAATATTTCTGATTTCAGTCCGTAATTGTTTCAGAACTGGCTGCAGCATTTTATTATCAATTGATCTTCCCGAAACAGCACTAATGGATCCCTCTGCTTCAGATGTTTCACCGTCATCTTCCTCAGGGTCGGGTATAATATAGGAAAGGCGCTTCGGTTTCTGCGATCCTACACATGCCTTACATTTCCAGTCCACAGCTTCCGTACCTGACAGAGCCGTCAGCTGATCAATAGAAATGCTAGCACATGACGCATGAAGCCACTTGCCACACTTTGAACACAGCAGTCCAGGATTTTTCTTATTTATATGTTTGGGACACTTGATACATTTAATCATTTTTTTAAGTTGAGGGTATATCGAATATTTTTTTGTTAAAAGTAGCGCGTCCTATTGCTACAACGTCCGTGAGACGACTCGGTATGTATTATACTAATACTAATAAAAAATTTATTTCAGACCAAAGAGTCCATATATTATTTGTAATGTTGTTAGCCACAATATTGACTTAAAACTATGTTAGCATTGTAGCACGATTATTTAATATTTTACGTGACTGAAGTTTGTTTTAAATCGGTATCACTGAAATTGGAAGTCGCTAGTTTAAATAGTGACATTACCGAGTACTAAGCACAAAAGAAAATCATCTAAACAAAATTCATTGATTAGGCTTAGATTAGTTTCTCACATAGAATATTACACTATAACACATACATAATAGAACGGGGGAGTGGGCGCAGCCCGTGTCGCCACTAAAATGCCACTAACACGTTAATTCACACGTATAAATGTCAACATGAGATGTGTTT